TGAGAGGCTATTTTCTCACTTCACCCAAGGATAATGCATTTAACTAGTACCAGATGGATGCCCAGGAGAGAAGTTAATTCATTATAGACAATGGATGTCTTGGGAACTAAGGGCTCAGTTCGACAGGGAAACCCTCTTGGGAAGGATTATCATTTATCCATACACGTCTGTCTCTGTAAGAGACTGCGGACTCTAAAAAACAGCAATAAAGTGTCTGAAAATAGGGTTTTGGTAAACATTTATCAGATGAATATGCCCTATGGAGACACACGAACTTGTAGACTTCTCTAAAACTCTCGCCAGCCAGAGCCCCACGTGACTCCAGATTCTTAGTAATGGACTCTTTGATGATGGGTATTAGATCAGTGCTTCTCTTTTTCCTCTTGGGGAGAAGGGGCATTAGAGAACTCCCAAGAGGCAAAACTGTGTATCTTCTCAGGAAAACAGAAGAGCACATTCACAAGTGCATTGTGTGTATAACTGTGTATATAGTTCCAAGGGTTCACAGGCCCTCTCTGGAAGTCTGTGACCCACAGGTTAAGAACCCCTATACGCGATTCTTAGAAATTAGACTCAGGGCAGGTTAAGAACCCCTATACACGATTCTTAGAAATTAGACTCAGGGCGCCTGGGTGGCTCAGTCATTAAACGTCTGCCTTCAGCTCAGGTCATGATTCCAGGGCCCTGGGATAGGGCCCAGCATCAAGCTCCCTGCTCGGCAGGAAGCTGGCTTCTCCCTCTCCCACTCCCCCTGCTTGTGTTCCCTCCCTCGCTGTGTCTCTCTCTGTCAAATAAATAAATAAAATCTTAAAAAAAAAAAAAAAGAAAAGTAATTAGACTCAAATTAATGCCCAAACCTAACCAGCCACGTTCTATTTATTTGGCAAAACAGGAGCAAAGGGGGCAGAAAGGCTTGGGTTTTGACCCAGGTTTTATTGTTTGCTAGCTGGGTGAGGTTGGAATAAGTCAAATCGCCTTTCTCAGCCTCAGTTTCCTCATCTGTAAAATGGGTTAATAGTAGTTGCTAATTCCATTTAAAGTCAGGAGGCGATGAGTAAACACATGTGCTTGGCACAGTGCCCCGTACACCATAAATGGAGGCCATCACCACCTCCCCTCTGGCCTGCAGATTCCACACTTAAACCTCCCACTCCCATCTGCATCTCCATTCAGCGCTGCATTAACAGCTCCCGTGGGATCTTAGAGAACAGGGCAGAAAATAAGAGACCCTAAGAATTCATAAGGTCACAAAACACAGCCCTAATGTTTTTCTCCCAAATCAAACGCTTGTTTTAACCTATGAAGGCCCTTCTGACAAGACAGTCGGCAATCTCTTTCTGTGTAAATCCAGGTCAGCTGCCAGCACACATTGTTCTATGAGGCCAAGTCAATTTTTAGAGGCAGGCCCCTTAACTTAAAATGGAGATGAAAAGAAAAGTGTTTGATCAAATACTGAACTGCGGAAACAAGGCAGAGGAATTAGTTTCCTAAAATTATTCCCTGTGATGCCCATAGTTAATACTGGATATTTAAGGATGCCCTCAGCCCTTCTAACCTGCCACCCTGCTTCCGCCAACCCCTCACAGCTAGTTCTTAAATGTTCTCAACTTTCCTCTGCTTTCAAGACCATTCAACACTTATCCCAGGATATAGAAAGGCCAATTTTAAAGTTACACAAAACCTTTCATTCAGCGTCCTTCTACAAATGAATTTCTTTAAGCATTTCTAAATATTTGACTTCAAGGGGGAAAAATGCTTTTCCACTTTAAACCAATCTTTCATCTCTAGCGATGCAAATTTTCTTTGTTTGTTTAACCAATCCACATACCACTGGCCAGTGCTTAATCAGGCCTTTATTTAACATCACTAACCATGTGAGTTTCGCAGCCAAGTCTGCAAGTTTCAGATAATGATCTCATAATAGCAACAAATTGGTTCAAAGCTGAAATATGTATCAATACGTCTAAGAGCGCTTTAAAGTTCCACACTTCAGAATGACAGAGCTGTAATTAATTCCTCCAGCACTCCCACTCTATGCCTGACACTTAGGAGCAAATGGACTTCAGTGCTGCATGAATAAATAAGATAATTAACAGCATTTCATATCCACACACTGTTTCCACTACTTTCACAGATGAAGATGTCAAAAAAGAAAAAATATATATCTCTTCTTAAGAGAGCACACTGGTGACCTTGGAAAAGTTATTTAAGCCTAAAATGCACAAGGAGAGAACCAAGAATCCTGGTGACTAATCCCAAGGTTTGAATTACTATCACTCGTGCTCTCGAACTCTCTCTCTCTCTCTCTCAACCAGGCCTCCCTTCCCCTAATCCATGCAAATGACCAACAGGTACTCTAATTAGAAGTATCTGGGGCAAACCAGACTGTGATAAGGTATCTTCTGTCACTGTATATAATGGGGAGGGAGGAAAAACAGTCATGCAAACCAATTTCCTATCTTAGAAGGCTTAAAGTAAAGAAACTCCCAAACGGGTCTTTTTCTCCCCTTAACCATGAACAACAGCACTACCGAACCCTACTGGAAATAACACAAGCAATGCTTCAGTCCCACTGTTTAGGTTTAGTTATCGGAAAATGAACTCAGCTCTGAAGAGCATAAGAGATTAAAGAGCAAATCACGCACGATTATTTTAAGATAGCAAATAAAAGGTTTGAGAAGTTCAATAAAGTGCTTAGGAAAAAACATGATTAATCTGAAGCTGAATATCAATTTGTTTCTTCTACATTGTCATTTTTCATACAAAATGTTACATTTCCTCCCAGCAGTCCTGAAACACCAGCTTCCCTTACAACATCATTTTTCAGGGCTGACAGGGACCACGCCAGTTACTTCAGTTCGAGCAGTATTCGAAGAACTAATAAAAGTGTGCCAGCCTCCGTACGCACATGGCCCTGAGAGCCACGCTGAGCTCCGTTTCTGCACTTGAGAGGTTCGGCACGTAGGCCCCCACAATAAAGTTATTAAAGATATGGAGAACAGCAAGAAATGACTATTCAGACAACTCATAAACTCACCAACACACTGTGCGGTTATAAAGGAATTAAGGACACCTATTAGTGACTGCTTAACAGTTCTACTTATTAAATACCATTTAAGTCATTTTTCTTTACTTAGCAAGTGTTGACTTAATTTGGGGGGGGCACTAAGCTAATGGACTGCAAAAGAGTTAGATAAGCACTTCAAAAAGATTCAAAAGAGAACAGATTCCTTCTGCCAAATTCATACATTCCCGCTCTACTCACAAGGATAAAATAGCTACAAATGGTGTGTTTAAACTGCTAATTTTGTATTAAACGGTGAACCCAGGATTATCTCAAAGCCCAGCACTAACCATAATGGATAGCCCGCCAGACAAACTACGGTGGAGAAAGAGTACAAGTTAAAACACTGCAGATAAAAATCGCAAACTTCAAAAGTCTCCTTCAAAAAGTGAAGTGCCACGTTAAAACATCTTTTCTCTTAGAAAGCTGTAAATCAAACATTTCTAAAGCCATCAGGGCACAGTGAAAGCCTCAAAGAGAAACAAGGAGCTACAAGGAGCAGGCTTTAAGATTCAAACTATTCTTGAAGACCGCCACTAAAACGTGTAGGAATCTTCAGTAGACCATCTTCTCTAAAGCTTATAAATTAAAGACCATAGTTATAACAAGAGCAAGGAAAAAAGTCCAAAGCCTTTAACATATGTAGTCACAGGACTCAAACATGTGTTTCCCCTTGTATTTACCCTGCAGAAGTTTAAGATGGGGATAAGAGCCCTGTGAGGCAATGCTGCTGATTAATGCCTGGCAAGGGTGCCTCCCCCATCTTTGTAAGGACACACCTCTAAGGAGCCAAGCTGCACAGCTCCCTGTCCTATCCACACAGGGCTGAGTATGCACCACCGGAGGGGAAAGGAAGAGGCTGCCATGCAATCATCCGTACAGTTCCCCTCTTTTCATTCATAAGTCATCCAAGAGTAAAGCACAGAAGGCCCCAAGCTCAGAGCCCTGCAGCCATCCCATCACCTCCAAAAAGGCTCCAATCAAGCCAACCATTTCAAATCGCCCGCATCCGAGCATGCATATTAACCGCCATAAGTGCGCTGGCAGTCTACTAACAAGTTGATAAAATCATAGCCAAGGAAGCGGGAAGGCATCTACCCAGCTCAGCAACCGCAGAGGCTTCAACTCAGTCCCTCCTCCAAAGTGTAGGCACGGCTTAAAAGCTCTGCCTCGCCAGTTCCCTTTGGAATGCAGACCTCTCTCACTGGGAGCAAGGTGGGGAGGCCCTGTCAGTGAGCGACCCTGTCTCCCGATTTCCAGGCCCTCCGCAGAAGTCCTTGACCCAGGAGCGGGCAGGCAGTCTCCCTCCCACCCTCTGTAATCTGAGGCACGCAGCGAAGGCTGCCTTCTCCGGCCACTCCAGGGCACTAGCGATCCCCACTCCTCGGCCAGCTCCCCCTGCTTCCCCGCCTGCTGCTGCTTGTCCAGAGCCCTGCAGGGGGGTCAGCGCCCAGGTGAAGCTGGCGGCAGGTTCCAGGAAAGAACCTAATGTGCAGTCCGCGGACAAACCTGGCTCCTACTCTCAAAAAGAACACGCAAGGATGGAAAGCAAAGCCTGTGACCTGAAACAAGCCACCCCATCCTTCATCACTCTTCTTTCCAAAGTTGGCATTCAACAGGTAGTTCCAGGACTTCCACCTGAGGCAAACCGAAATGCCTAACCGGCCCAAGGGGGCCGCCCCAACGTGGGTATCAGGACCCGGGATCCCCCTCCCGCCCCCCGGACCCACAGGAGACAGAGTCCCCACGTGCACTCGCCCCCCGCTGCGGCGCCCTGGAGGCCGCGTCCCGCCCGCCGGCCGGGGAGGGATGCAGCCGACCTCCTCGCCGCCCCTCCCGCCCGCCCGCCCGCCAGCCCGCGGCGGGGTCGGCGGGCGCAGCCCCCGGAGCCATCTTGTGGCTGCGGCGGCGCGGGGCCCGGGCGGCGGGCAGCTACCTGCACGATCTCGCCCTCCGCGCTGAGCGTGGCCCCCGCCCGCGAGAAGCGGCCCGTGAGGCCGGTGGTGTAGGTGGTGTAGTCGCCGCTCGGGCTCGACTCGAACAGCACCACCTCCACAAACGCCGTCTCCTTGGCCCGCGCCGCGCCGGGCCCCGCGGCCGCCAGCAGCAGCCCGAGCAGCAGCGGCAGCGGCGGCGGCGGCGGCAGGCGGCGGCCGCGGG